CCATACCCGGCTAGTTTTTGTATTTTCAGTAGAGATGGGTTTTCACCGTGTTGGCCAGGATGGTCTCAATCTCTTGACCTCATGATCCACCCACCTCGGCCTCCCAAGGTGTTAGGATTACAGGTGTGAGCCACCCCGCCTGGCCCAGACCCTGCATTTTTAGCCAGCTGACCAGGAGGATCTCATGCTCAGGTCCTAACGTTAATGCGCTGCTGGAATGGCTTTCCTTGACAGGTCAAGCAGAGTGTCTGCGGAAGGTAACTGGTAGGAGGGAGAGTGGGCTGAGTCCTCGCTCAAGGCTCACAGCCCTGACCTGCCTCTTCGGAACAGCCAGGAGGTCCAACCTCCTCTAAACCCTCAGCCAAGAGGGCACAGGGAGGCAACGTCATGTTTCTCTGGCCTCTCCTGCTGCAGAGGCCACAGATAGAGAAGCCACCAACCAGGAACGTCCCCTTTCGCCCCCAGCTGAGTGGGCAGGCTTCCTGGAGGGCTCACCAGTAGGTTCCCGGGGTCTGATCCTGACAAGACCCTTCCCAGCAGCAGGTCCTGGACCGGGATTTCTCACCTGTCTCAGCCTCAACTTCTCCATCTACAAAACTGGTGACTTGCCTTCCTGGGATAATAAGCCACATCCTAAGCAGCCCAGGACGTGAGCCCTCCTGGGGACCCGGGCCTCAATCCTCAAGGCCCACGGAATCCAGGGCAACTTGAGCCCTTGGCCCCTGATCCCCAGTGTCCGCAGCATGCAGGGGACGTCCAACCCCCCGGGCCCCAGTGGGGTGTCCTGAATTCCTGCCCTGAGTCTGGGAGGCCAGGAAACACTTTCTCTGGGCTGGCTCCATTTTCCAGATGAGGAAACTGAGGCCCACAAACCTGCCCGAGACCCCTGGTTGCACAATGGCAGTTCCAAGGGTAGGAGCCTAGACTCCTGTCCCCTTGGGGTAGCCCTTTCCATAGGATTCACAGGAAACTGGCAGCTAGGAGAGGGCAGGCAGCACAGTGCCAGGAGCCATGGTCTATGAAGTCTCTATCTGCACCCACCCACCTCCCAGGGACATTCCAAGAAATCACCACGGCATGGGGATGGAGCTGGTAGATCACCCTTGCCTCTAACCACCGCAGAGCCAAATCCTGCCCACACAGACGCCCGGACTCCCAGGGGACCCAGGACCACCCCTCACTGACCTCCTGAGCGCCCCCCCATGCCTAGTGCCTGAGAGGCCGATCCCACCTGTCCCCTCCCCTGCTTCAAACACTCATAAACTCCCAGCTGCCTGCAGATGACGCTCCTGCACCTGGCCCCTGCAGGGGACCCCCCACCCCAGCTGTCCTTGAGGAGCCCGTTCCCTAAAGCTGGAGGCAGAGGCCTTACCTCCCTGGACCCGCCCTGCCCTCCAGCCCCACCCTACCTGCCTGCTATACCCCGGCCCTTGGTTTTGGTTGCCCTTGGTCTGCTGGCCCAGCACTGGGACATTTCTTACCCGGTACCCTTCAGACCTCTTTTCACTACATGCATGTAAATCTTAAAGGAGAGGGGAAAATAGCAGAAAACGGATTTGATGCAAACAAGATACAACATAAAAACAGGAGGTCCTGCCTGGCCCTCCTATGGCTCAGGAGCAGGTGGGGAGGACCAACGGGTAGCTGAGGGCCACACCTGTGGGATGCCCCGGGGGCCCTCAGCCCACGTGCCGCACCTGCTGCCACAGCTGCGCTTCCTCCCTCCCTCCCTCCCTGGCCTTATCGGAGGGTGCAGGCCTAACCAAGGTCGGTCCTCATCCTCCCAGCCCATGAGGCCAGCCGGGCGTCTGAGAATAATGGTGCTTGTTAATCTTTCATCTGGAACCTTGGACCCCAGGCTGGCCCTCCTGGCATTTGCCACACAGCCCCTATACCCTGACCTCACTTGCTGTGGGACCAGGTAACTATGTTCCCTTTTATGCTGGCCGAGGTCGTGGGAGAGAGGGTACCCGAGTGACAGAGGCATGCTGACGGACCCAGTCTCACCTGGACTTGATTCCCACCTGCCAGCGAGTCCTTGTGTGACCTCAATCTGGGTCTCAGTTCCCCCAAACATGAAATGGGAACCCTCAGGAGGAATTTCTCAGTTTAAAGGGGGTGACTTGTGCACATAGAGGTGCTTGGAGAACAGCAGGACCCCCAAGATCCTGGCAGTAGGGCAGGGCCTGGCCCCAATACTACATGTGGGTGCTCCATAGCCCTGGCTGTGTGTCTTCAGGTAAGTCACCTGCCCTCTCTGAGCCCATCTCCACAGGGAGGGTGGGCACAGGCTTCAGAGCCACTGTGGCCTTGCATCTCCAGGACGAGCAGCAGGGGGGGGCCTCTGGGTGTGGAAAGCACACTCTCCTCCAGAACAGAACTGGGCTAATTCTAAATAAGGAATGTGTACCCCCATATCCCTGGTGGAAAACCAAGGGTCCGGGAACCTATGTCTCTTACCAGCAGCTCTGTCAATGCCAATGGGCAGCAGAAGACCATAGCCAGGCATCATGGGGCGTGTCCACCTTGCTTTGATTTATACAGGTGCTCATGGGGTCTTGGTTTCTCCTCTGTAAAATGGACACAGCCCAGTCCTGGGGCAGGAGTTCAGGGGTGAAGCCAAGATGGCACCAGCAGAGCATGCCTCCTGCTGCCCCTTCTCCAGGCATTTCCAGGGATGCCAGGGGGTTACCTCCAGCCACTGGAACCCTGCGTTCCTGGTCAGTCTCTCAGATCAGGGAGTGCTGGAACTGCCCTGGGAGCAGGGCCAGGGGCTGGCCGTGCAACAAATATGATAACCCCCGCTCTCTCCCCCGTGGCCTGCTCTTCTCCCCAGGCACTCGCAGAAGAAGAGGGAAGACCCCTGCCTCTCAGGAAGACAAGTCTGTCCGCACCACTGTGCTTTTCATATCTACTCTAGGACAACCAGTGGTAATGGCGCGTTTTAAAGATGTCGGGAAAAACACACACCCCCGTATTACATTTTTGGTTTTTGTTTTGTTTTGAGACAGAATCTTGCTCTGTTGCCCAGGATGGAGTGCAGTGGGATGATCACAGCTCACTGTAGCCTTGAACTCTGGGCTGATTCAATCTTTCCACCTTTCAGACTCCGGAATAGCTGGGATTATAGGCACATGCCACCATGCTTGGCTAACTTATTTGCATTTTTTGTAGATATGGGGTTTCACTATGTAACCCGGGTTGGTTTCGAGTTCCCGGGCTCAAGTAATCCACCCACCTCAGCCTCCCAAAGTGTTGGGATTAGAGGTGTGAGCCACCGCTCCTGGCCACTGCCATTTTAGTGTCAAATCCTCTCCAAAGGGTACCAGCCCCCCAGCCTCTCACTTTATAGCACATTTCACAGAGCCAGAGCCTAAGGTTCCATGCAGGGGAGTGATGGAGTCCAGATGATGGCATTACCCCTGAAGCAGCTCCCTGGGTGCCACTGGGCCTGTCCATAAATTTGGGGGCAGGTATACAGTGGGGAAACTGAGGCACAGAGGTGCAGTGACTCACCCCAGGTCACAGAGGGGATTCTAACCCAAAACTCCAACAAGGGGCCAGTGCCTGGGCAGTGCTCATGTCTGAGAGGAGACTGAGCAGGTGGTCAGAGGAAGAGCCAGGGGCAGGCAGGGTGAACAAGAGCACAGGGTGCTGGACTAAGCTCCATTTGCAGCACAAATTCTGAGGCAAACAGCCTTTTGTCTGCAGACGAGCCTCCAGATACTCCCTGGCCTTGGGCTGACCTTGGGCAAGTCAAGGCTATCCAAAGGGCACTGGCTACCCACTGCCCCAGGCTGTTGTGCCAATAGAAGTGGCTCCTCAGGCGGCACCAGGCCCTGGGCATGCCTTCCTCAAACACAGGGGCAAAGTGCTCATCACCCCAACACCAAATTAGGGAACTCTGGACATCAGGCTGCCAGAGTGTCAAACTAAATAAACCAAACCCACCAGCACCAGGAACAAGTCTCAGCGCCCACTCTGCTGAGTTGCACACCTCTGCTTGGTGAATTAACTCCCTGGGCCGCAGTTTCCCCATCTGCGAGAGGAAGCCAGCCTCCTGCCAGTTCCCTGGGGCTGCAGGCTGACAGTGTGACTGGGGCCAGCCCACCCCACTCCGGGCCTCAGCTTCCTCCTGTGCAGAACCGAAGCCCGGCAACGCCTGAGACACCCAGGACCCTCAGGCCTAACCCTCAGAGGCAGTGGCCACGGGAAGTGAGCTTTTGGGATATCTGAGACCCAGAATTCCAGTTTGGTTCCGTTTCTAAAAGGGTTACACTTTAGAATCATTCGCGGGGCAAGGCCAGCATTCGAACCCTGGAGGCTTGGGCACGGGAGGTGAAAGCTCTTCAAGCACATTCTTGAAATCAAACACTTAAAAGTAAAATAAAAAGCAGCCTCCCTTCCTCCCGGAGGCCTCTGAGCCTCGGAGACAGCCGCCCGATCCCAAGCCTGGCTACAGGGTGACCTCGGACAGCCACTCCCCTCTCGCAGGCTCAGTTTCTCCATCTGAAAAGTGGGGCTCCGGTGGTCACCAAGGAACCGTAAAGATGACACCTCCCTCAGGCGCGGAGAGGGCGCCCGGCTCGCCCCTTCCGCCCCGCGCCGCCCGCCAGCCCGCCCGCCAGGTGAGGCCGGTCTCGACTTCCCCCGGAGGGGCGCGGAGGGGCCCGGAGCCCGCGGCGTGGAGGGCGTGGCCGGCTGCAGTATCCGCCGGCGCCCGGGACCAAACCCAGGGACCAAGGCGCGGCGGCCACTCGGGAAGGGGCGCGCGGGCGGCTGCGTGCAGCCGCCTGCTTTGGAACCGCTAGCTACCAGGCTTCGGCTCCACTAGGGCGTTCGCTGGGCGGGCGGAGGGTCGGGGAGGCTCATCCTCAGGGCGGATCGTGGCTGTGACCCCCACCCACGGCTGGGCGGCCCCGCAACCCCCTCCCCTCGGCTTTCCCATCTGTGAAATGGGCGCAGAGCCCCGCACGCGGCCACGTGGCCTCAGCCCTCACCTGTGCGGTTCCCTGGGGCAGACGTGGTGACCCCGGCCCGCCCCCGGCGCCTCGCCTTGCCACGGAGGGTGGCGGCTGCCCCGCGCATCCTGGGCGCTCCGCGGCGCTTGGCGGGGCCTCCCGGGGCAGTGAGCCCGGCTTACGGGGGCGGGGCCTGGGCCGGAGAGGGGCGGGGCACACCGGGCCCCGCCCTCACGCCCTCTCAGGGGCGGTGCCAGGCAGCTTACAGGCCACGCCCACACTTTGGACTGGGGCCGAGGTCCTGGCGGGAGCCGGGGCGGGGGCGGGGGCGCGGGCGGGAGCCGGGGCGGGGGCGCGGCGGGAGTCGGGGCGGGGGCGTGGGCGGGGGCGGGAGCCGGGGCGGGGGCCCAGGCCCAGGGGAGCTCCAACTCCCAGCGGCGTAGCTGTCCGAGCAGAAAGTGTCACTCCCCCGGGGCGTTGCACGCGCGGCTCCCTCTGCCCAACACGCTTCCCTCCTGCCCTGCTCGCACCCTCGCTCCTAACGTGGTTTTTCCACATGCTTCTGTGTTTTTATTTTTTGAGCAGGATTTTGCCTTCTCAGGTGCCCGATTCGGCAGGTACCAAAGGGCAAACAGCAGAACCCCTCCCCGGCCCGCCCCTCCCACGCCCCACTCACCCCCGGTGCCCTTTGCGGACCTTCTTTCCCTGTCTCTCGCTGGGCCAGGCCTGCTGAGGCACTGGGAGGTGGGTGCCCTTGCTGTCTTCGGTTCTCACTGAGGGGCCCCCCGGGGGGGAAACAGGATTCAAAGCCCTGGGGTCTGGCTGCAGGGCCCCCCACACACACACGTAGCCTCCCTCTTGGCTTCCCCTTCCTACCCAGCTCCAGCTCTTTCTCTCCCTCTGACCCCACCCAACCCAGGCTTAGCACCCTGCCCGGGCAACCACCAAAGGGCGGGGTCTATTCAGGCCTCAGACACCCTGGATCTTGGGCTGCCTGAGGGAGGCCTCCTGAGCCGTGCCCATCCCTGTGGAGCCCGCAAAGGCATTCCTGGCAGAGGGGATAGCAGGGGCAAAGGCCCTGGCTTGGCAATGTCTGACAGCAGAAGCCCAGGGCAGCTGGCTGAGGTGTGCCTCCAGAAGTGCGGAGGGTGACCCAGATCGCTGGGCTGGCTCCAGAGGGCCTGGCGAGTAACCCTGAAGAGTGTGGATGTTCAGGTGCACCATGAAGTGGGGTTCCAGTAGGGCAGCCCCCCCCACCTCTCCTGTCTGAGCCCTCCAAAGCCGAGGTTCAGTGTGAGACGTGAGGGGCCCTACCCCTTTCCCCATCAGGGTTGGCTTCACCCCGATACCTTGTTCCCACTTGGACTGGTGATTCACACGCGATGCCTTTCTTCAGTCTCCTTTATTCAAAATCAAGCATGCGTGTTCCTTCTGTCATGTCAGGATGGGCAGGACCATCAGCAGTGTCCGCTCCAGACCACACCCTGGAACCCCAGAATTCCTTGCCAGATGGCCCCTAACCCACCTCTCAGGCCTGTGTGGCCCCTACTCTGGGTTTGCCCACCATGTACCACTGGGCAGAGGGCCACTGCCTGCCTGTAGGTGCATGCACAGGGCTGGGAGGGCGGTCTGAGGCAGCCCTCCAATAGCTGGGTGGGGATGGAAAACAGCAGGCTGCCTGCAGCTCCCTAAGCCGCCTCGCTGTGACCCAGGCCTTCAGGAGTCCCCAAATGCGAAACACAGGGCCATTAAGGAAGTGTGTTTCCTAGAGCTGTGTATCATAGTACCACAGACTGGGTGCCTGGGAACAACAGAAATTTATTGTCTGAAGGTTCAGGAGGCCGGAAGTCTGAGATCAGCGTGTCGGCAGGGCTGCAGTCCCTCCGAAAACTCCAGGACAGACTCCCTTTTGTCTTCAAGCTTCTGGCAGTTCCTTGGCCAGTGGCAGCTTACCTCCTGTCTACACGTGATGCTCCCCTGTGTCTCTCTGTGTTCCAATCTGTCTTATCAGGACATCAGTCATGTACGATCAGTGCCCACTCTAATGTCCTCATCTTAAGACCTTATAAAGAGTCTGTAAAGACCTATAAAGACTTTGTCTCCAAATAAGGTCACATTTGGAGGTACTGAGGGTTAAGACTTAAACATCTAGATTTTGGGGGACACAGTTCAGCCGCTGACGAGGGGGAGTCAAGGAGGACTGAGTGTGTTTTTCTGAGCAGTCTGTCACTTGGTTAGGTTGTGGACATTCAGGCTTGTCGCACTGGGCCGCCATGTGTACTCTTAGGGGAGCTGGAGGAGGCCCAGTGACCTCGGTCGTGTTGTTCCCACAGGGCGCTGTACGCCTTGCTGTGGCTCAGAATCGCCACTTGCTACCGAAAGGCCATCTTCAGGAGCTATGGGAGGCACCTGGGTCTGATTCTGGAGGTGGGCCTGTCACCTGTTTGAACCCTGATCAGAACCAGCTTGTCCACCTTTTCCCAGGCCCTCAGAATGGTTTGCTCCTGAAAAGCCCAGCAATTCTAGCCACATGCATGGGGGAAACTAAGGCATGTGGAAGGAATGGCACTGGCCCACCAGGGACAACTGCCTGGGGTGCCCCCTTCCATGGTGGGAACCATGGCTCTCTGACAGGCTTCCCTGATCCCTGGGGCAGGGGTGGGCGCCCTTGCACTGAGTCTCGGTGTTCTCATCTGAGGGGCGGACATGGCCCTGCCACCCTCCCAAGGCAAGTGAGAGATCACGATGTGCTCAGGACGGAGCCGTGGCCTCTGAGCTGGACTGCCAAGGGCCCGTCAGCATTTGAGCTTGGCCCGCCCACCCAGCTCTCCCAGTTACCTGGTTTTCCAGACTCTCCAAGTCTAGGCCCAAACTGGGAGCAGTGCCTGGGCTTCACCTGCCTGAGTGAGAAAGGCAAACTTCCTCAGCCTCCTCCTCCAAGGAGCCCTCCCTGATGGCACTCCCTGGCAGAGCCATTCTGTGCCACCTATCCTCAAGGCCTGTTTAGCCTGTGTCATGTCTGTGAAATGAAAAGGACATGTGGCCGGGTGTGGTGGCTCATGCCTGTAATCCCAGCACTTTGGTAGACCGAGGCAAGAGGATCACTGGAGGTCAGACATGCCTGTAATCCCAGCTATTCGGGAGGCCGAGCCATGAGAATTGCTGGAGCCTAGGAGGCAGAAGTTGCAGCGAGCTGAGATTGCGCCACTGCACTCTAGCCTGGGTGACAGAAGGAGGCTCTGTCTCAAACAAAACAAAACAAAACAAAACAAAAAACCTATGGCTGTCCTGACCTGAAGGAGGCAGGGGGCGTTAGGAGGAACGGATGGGCTGCTGGCGAGGCAGGCCAGGAGAAGGAGGCAGAGTCAGGCACAGCCTGAGGACCTGGCCAAAGCTGCAGCCTCTTCCCCGCTCCATTTGCAACGGGGAGCACGCAGTGCACTGTCAGTGGACGCTTGGTAGATGACTGAACCGGCAGGGAAGGAACCCGGGAGGCGGGGGAGGCCTGCTGCCTTGGGGCTCAGTGTTAACTCTGTAACGGGGGGTCTCATGCGCTGCCAGAGGTTTCCAGGGGAAGCTGAGGGTCTGGCTTGGGGGTTTCCTCTTCCCTCAGAGCTTAGCTGAAGTATTGCCTCACCCAGGAAGCCTTCCTCAACCCCCGATGTGCCTGACCCAGGATCCATCGGCCACGGTGACCTGGGAGGTGACCCATGCGTAAGTCTGGTGATCGTGGCAGAATTCTTGGCTTGGCGAGTTTCTCTAAAACTGGATAATAATTGTGGAAATCTAAAACGTTTTTGTTTTACTTTATTCTTTTTTTTTAGACAAAGTCTCCCTCTGTCACCCAGGCTGGATTGCAGTGGCATGACCTCAGCTGACTGCAACCTCCACGTCCTGGGTTCATGGAATTCTCCTGCCTCAGCCTCCTGAGTAGCTGGGATCACAGGCATGCACCACCGTGCCTAGTTAATTTTTGTATTTTACTAGAGACAGGGTTTCACCATGTTGGTCAGGCTGGTCTCTGATTTCAGGTGAGCCACACTCCTCGGCTTCCCAAAGTGCTGGGATTCTATGTGTGAGCCACTGCGCCTGGCCTGTGTTGCTTTATTCTTGATTTTAGTTTTTACTCAATAGAAAAATGAGATTTTTGTTCTGAAAACCTCTCAGAATGGACCAAGTCTAGAAAGTTCTATTGCAAAATGGTAAGAGTCAGGAAAGCATTGGTGGCCTCGTGGGTGCTCTCTTTTTTTAAAACTGTGTGACCTTTTAAAAACTAAAAGGAATTTCAAAAAAGTAACCTGAGCTTGCAGCTATAACAGGCCAGATGTTTGGGGAGAAAATCGTTTTCCCAAAAATGTTTTCTGCTGGGCCATGTGGGGCCCTCAACGCACACCGCTCATCCTCCTAAAGCAAGGCAAGAACCCTGTCCCCACTGTGCAGAGCGACAAAGGCCCCTCCCCAGGGGTACTTCCCTGCTGGGGCCTGAGCTCTGACCATCAGACTGTCCTACCTGGCTGCATCCTGCACAAGCAGATGAGTTGGCCCGGGTGACGTGACATCGAGCTGCCACCCTCAGGTTCAGAAATGATGGCTCAGAGACACCAGGCAAGGTGCCCAGGGGATAGAAAGAATGACAGGCTCATGGAACCAAGCACCCACTGCGTGCCAGGCCAGTTGAGAAGCTGGGACACAACTGGACCGAGGAGGGACTGGGTCTGGGCGGGGGCCGCCCCCATCCTCATCCTGCACACCGAGGCCTTGACCTGGCCACCAGTCGGCTGGAGGGTAGTGGGACAACTTTTTTCCCACCTCTCGAGTCTTTTTGTACTTTCTGAATTTTCTACAATGAGCATGTATCTATTCTCTAATAAGAAACCAGGATTTTAAATGCTTTGTAAACGTAAACTGTTGCAAAATTTCCCATGACCGTTCTGATGGTCACTTGTTGGGAAAGATGTGGACTGACCTGGGTCCTCAGCGGCTGGGATTACACTGCATTCCCGTGCTCTAAGGAGTTACGATGAAGCATAGGATTTCAGGTGGGAGTTTCTGCTTTCATTGGCCCGGAGCTGTTCCCAGCTAAGCCGGCGGGTCACAGGGTGCACAGGTGGGTCAAGGGCAGCCCAAGGCTTAATGCTCAAGGGCCAGTTAAGCTTCTTTGATGCCCGGCACCTGCGC